CCCTCCAGCCCAAATAAATCGGTGACTGAAGGTTAGGCCCGAATCCCTCCAGCCCAAATAAATCGGTGACTGAATGTTAGGCCCCGACACTGAGGACAGCTACTGAACAGTGTCAATACTTGTTCCAAACCACGACTCCCTCTTCTGAAATTTTAACCATTTCACGGGTTAGTCATCACCGGCCAGACTGGAGTCGGCACAGGGGTGGAGTCGGCACAGGGGGCTTCGCCCCGATGGGAATTGGGGTTGGGGGGTGCAGGGAGGGGCTTGCCGGCTCTTTTCTCCCCCCAACTGCTTCCCGTTTGAGCGGGAGCCGAACTCCTGAGCCATTCCCAAGGAAGCCTCGAGCAGGGAGTTTGCCTTGCAGCTGGCAAACGCAAGCCCCGTGCCATCTGCGGGCTGTGGGACTCTGTCCCCAGTGTTGGCCGGGCAAGGGGGGAGAGAGATTGTAAAGGGGCCTCCACGCTGACAGGCTGGTGTGGTTTGTGGGCCCTTCACCTGCTGAGGCAGAGGAGGAGAGCAGCTCGGGGCCTTGAACCTCCCTCCCTTCCGCCTGTTAAAGAGGTGCTTACCTGTGATTTTCTTCCCGCTCAGTGGCTCGCTCTGCAGAGAGTTCTGAACAGCTCTGATGTTGATGGTGTATTCAGTTCCAGGCCGTAGTCCTGTTCGGGAGCGGGGAAAGGAAGAACACTCGGCCTGCTTACATTTTCTTCCGAACCGAGGGACATTGCTCCTTGTCCCTCCCCACACCCAGCGGTCGGACACAGCATGAGCTTACACCCTGCCTTCCCCTGCAACAGGGCACCGGAGGCTGGAAAGCGCAGAGCGCCGCTACGCAGTGGCGAGCTACGTCCAACCAGGAAACTCCCCTTGCCCTGGCTGGGCGTCGTGGACGTGATCGGAACGTCCGCCTGGTTCCACCACGACCACGCTCTTCCGGAGCCAGCCAAGTCCCAGAGTGGGGCTGCCGATTGGCAGCTTCTGGCTCGGAGGCAGGGACGCTGACCCACTGCGACATCCTCGTCCCGAGCTCCCCCTTGGGCGGAACTCCCTCCGGCCTTCCGACAGAATGGCGCACTGGGATCCTGTGTGTCCGTCCAGCCCGGGAGGGCTGAAGGGGTGTCACGTGTGCCGCCAATTCCGAAAGACCGCACTCTCGACACCGCACGGGGGTGGGGGGGGCATTGGTCTGGATTGTGTCGCACCAGGCTGGGACCCACACCCTTCTGTCACCGTTACCGACTGAGATCGACCATTTACCCGCACGAGGTAACGAGGGGAGGCCGTGGCCTGGAGGTGTTAATCGCCAGACGGTTAACCCTGTGTTCGAGCCCCGCCATGGGAGATGGGGGAAATTTGAATACAATAAATATCTTTCATTCGTTGGATGAGGGCGTCGCTGGCTAGGGCAGCGCCCATCCCTAATTACCCAGAAGGCAGTTCAGAGTCAACTATGTTGCTGTGGTTCTGCAGGAGGATGCAGGCCAGACCAGGTAAGGATGGCAGTTTCCTTCCCTAAAGGACATTAGTGAGCCAGATGGGATTTTCCTGACAATTGACAATGGATTCATGGTCACCATTAGATTCTTAATTCCAGATATTTATTGGATTCGAACTCCACCGTCTGCCGCGGCAGGATTCGAACCTGGGTCCCCAGAATATTATCTGGGTCTCCAGATTAAGAGTCCAGCAATAATACCACTAGGCCATTGCCTTCTCATGTAACTTCCCATCTGGACTCCAGAATCTAATGATGGCATGAATTTGTTGCCAACTGTCGGGAAACCCCGTCTGGTTCACTAACTGTCCTTTAAGAAGTGGAACTGCCGTCCGTACCCAGTCTGGCCTACGTGTGACTCCAGACCCACAGCAATGGGGGTGGCTGAACTGCCTTCTGGGCAATTAGGGACGGGCAATAAACACACAGACACATCCCACGAATGGACTTTTTAAAACAAAAAAAGAACGCACCAACAGGTCCATAGCACAAAAACAGGCCATTCAGCCCATCTCGAGCCTGCGCTGTTTGGCACGGGGACGTGGTGAGCAAATCCAAGCCGGGCCGGCTGGACGAAGGCGGGAGGGGGCGCGGGGCAGATGGGAAGAGGTGACGGTGCTTACCTGTAATCACCGCTTCGTGGGTGTTGATGGTGGGTCGCGGATAGAGCTCCACTGGGCGCTCCCCCTTGGCATGGTAGGTGACGATGTAGCCGGTGATGCGGGCACGCGGCCGCTGCCATGTGAACATGATGCTGTTGGTGGTCGTGGAGATGAACCGCAGGTTGGATGGAGAGTCGATGGCTGAGTTGGGGCGTGTGGGGTGGGGTGAGAGAGAGAGAGAGAGAGCGCGAAAGGGAGAAGTTAAGCTATTACTCCAAATGGGGCAAAGAGACCAACAACATTCCCGTCCCACTGCCCTCAGAGCGCCTGCACCACACCTGACAGCTGTCCTTACCCTGACTGCGGAGGTCCTCCCACTCCGACGCTCCCCTGTGGTACTCAAACCCTTCGGGATGCTGGTTTCCCAAATGGGGAGGACGTTTTTGTTTATTATTACTGTTCACTCGTGGGGTTTGCTGGTTGGCCTAGTTGCCCTTGAGAAGGTGGCGGTGAGCTGCCTTCTTGAACCCCCTGCAGTCCTCCTGCTGTGGGTCGACCCACATGATTCCACAATTTTGACCCAGCGACAGTGGAGGAACGGCGATATATTTCCAAGTCAGGACGGGTGAGTGGCTCGGTGGGGAACTTGGAGGTGGTGGTGTTCCCGTGTATCTGCTGCCCTTGACCTTCTAGATGGGTGTGGCTGTGGATTTGGAAGGCGCTGTCTGAGGACCTTTGGTGAATTTTTGCAGTGCATCCTGTAGATAGCACACACTGCTGCTACTGAGCGTCGGTGGTGAAGGGAGTGGATGCTTGTGGATGTAGTGCCGATCAAGCGGGCTGCTTTGTCCTGGATGGTGTTAAGCTTCTTGAGTGTTGTTGGGGCTGCACCCATCCAGGCAAGTGGGGAGTGTTCCATCACACTCCTGTGTTGTGCCTTGTAGATGGTGGACAGGCTTTGGGGAGTCAGGAGGTGTGTTACTTGCTGCAGGATTCCTAGCTTCTGACCTGCTCTTGTAGCCACTGTGTTCATGTGGTGAGTCCAGTTGAGTTTCTGGTCAATGGTAACGCCAAACATGTTGAAAGTGGAGGATTGAGTGACAGTAATTCAGGGTTTCAGTGATTGCCCTAGGATGTGGTGGTGGTGGAGGGGGGTAGGGAGGGGGGAGGTGGTGAGGGGCTCAGTCCTCTACCCTTCTTGCCTGGATGGCTCAAGTTGGTAGAGGGAGTGCATAACAACATTCTGCACAACGTGGACTGTCGGAGAACAGATCTGGGACCAGGTTGTACTGAGGGATGATGTGGGGAGGGGTGAGCCAAGTTAACGGGTACAGCACACAATCTGGGCATGAGGTGGTGGGAAATAGGGGTTCAGAAAGACAATGAAGGGTTTGTCCTTCCCCAGCCACCCCTCCGAGGATGTGGTGAGAGGACTCTGGGGTGGCATGGTGGCTCAGCGGTTAGCACTGCTGCCTCACAGAGCAAGGGGCCTGGGTTCGATTCCACCCTCGGGCGACTGTCTGTGTGGAATTTGCACATTAATGCCCTGGGTTTCCTCCGGGTGCTCTGGTTTCCTCCTGCGGTCTGAAGATGTGCAGGTCAGGTGGATTGGACGTGCTAAATTGCCTATGGTGTGCAGGCTGGGTGGGTTAGCCATGGGAAATGCTGGGGCAGGGGGGGTTGGGTCTGGGTGGGATGTTCTTCAGAGGATCGGTGGTGGACTTGATGGGCTGAGTGGCCTGCTTCTGCACTGTAGGGATTCTACAATTCTTGACTTTCAAGCTACGAAGACAGCCAACAGACTGAAGGTCCTTCTCAGTGGAGGTTTCCTCATGATAAATGTGCAGTTTGATGGAAACAATTGAACAAAAACAGTCACTGTAGGTAGGTCACGGCCCAATTTACACAGGAGAGACCACGTCTGGAGTACTGTGCACAGTATTGGTCACCTTCATCTCAGAAGTCATCAATGTGAAGGTTTACCAGATTAATTCCCCAAAATAGAGGGGAAAGACCAGACAGGCTAACCTTGTATCCGCTAGAGTTTAGCGGTGCTATAGAGATGGCTTGATCAAAACATATAAGGTCCTGAGAAGATTTGACTGTGCGCATGTGGATAGGATATTTTGTTTTGTGGGACAGTCTAGAACGGGGCGGCGGGGGTCACGGTTTAATACTGTCCACATAAATACGAGACGAAGTGAAAGATATTCCTCAGATAGTCATGAATCTTTGGAACTCTCCTCCTGAGAAAGGAGTCTGGATCAGAGAGTTGAACATTGTGAAGACAGAGGTAGACAGATCCTCGGTTAAATAGGCGAAAGGTTAAAGGTTATCGAGGTAGGCAGGAAAGTGGTGTCATCAGGTCAGGCACAATCATGCGGCATGGCACAGCAGGCTCAAGGGCCTGATTGGTCCTGATTGGTATTTTCACCGGACATTAGTAACACCCAGACACTGATAACAACGTGACGGGGGGCCTGGCCCTCGCTCTCCAGGAGAGAGGGTAATGCTTACCAGTCCGAGCTATGACCGAGGAGGGGGTGCTGCGAGAGTCGCCATTCAGCGAGTAGATGTTAATGCTGTACTCGGTGCCGGGCAGTAGGCCTGCGAAAGGAGAGAGGGGAGGGAAAGAAAATATCAGCGTCAAATCGAAGGTGAAGATGCGCGGCCGGCGCCGGGGAACGACGGAACTCTGAAGGCAAGGAAGGGCCGGCCTAGTCTGATTCAGCACTCACCTGTGCTAAGCAGGGAGTTTGCACCGAACTGAGGTTAGACCCCTGACCAGGCCACGGCTGGGATACTGCAACCATCTTTGACACTGCTCCCCAACCCCACGCCATCCACCGCCATATTTCAGGAAGGAGGTCAAGGCCACAATGACCCAGTGTCGAGGGACCGTGGTTCTGTCGGGATTTTGATGGTTCTCCTCGGGGCAGGAAGTGGGGTTACAGGAAGAGTCGATAAAAGGGTCTGACGAGAGCAAGCAACTGGTTCCACTTGGGGGTGGGCGGAGGTGTCAAAATTCAGGAACAAACAGGCAGGTGAGAACTATGTTTCCAAACACAGTGAATTGAGACTGTGGTTGGTCAAAGCCAAAATGAGGAATCGGAACAAAAATGCTTCCCGAGGTGGGGGGGACTTCCTGCAGGGATACTGGGGGGAGGTGCGGGGAAGGGAAAGGGCCAGCTGTGGCCTTTCCATTGAGCTTTTCAAATTGCTAGCACAGATGGGCCAAACGGCCTCCCTCTGCGCGGCGCATCCATTCTCCGATCAAGAAACAGCAAAGTAAGGAGTTGGGGGGAGGTGGGGGGTGTGGGGGGGGTGTTTGGTAAAGTGCACCGAGTCCCGCAGGCCAGCAAGCAAAGGGGATGCGGGGTCAGGGGAGGGGAGTCTCTGAGCTCTACCTGTGATGGTGTACGACCTCTGGTTGGGCCCCACAGTCCTCTGCACTGGGCTTTGCCCGCCGGTGGGAATGGCGTCGATCTGGAAGCCGGTGATGGTTTCAGCCTTGGTGCGCCACTGCAGGGTGATGCTGGTCTCCGTCACCCCGCTGACACGGATTTTCCGAGGAGAGCCGACGTCTGGCAGGGAGCAGCACGGTTACAACAACAACAAGAAGCCGCAGGCGATGGAGCCTGTCACGCTGCGTCAATTCCTCCCAGGGTGCCACACGGGAGGTCTGTGACGCCACCTCACCCTCCCCGCCCCCACCCCCCAAATCTCCGAGCTTCACCATGAGGTGACCCTATAAGGGTTTATAAAATTAAGAGGGGGCATGGATAGCGTGTATAGCCAAGGTCTTTCTCCCCCAGAGTGGGGGAGTCCAAAACTAGAGGGCAGAGGTTTACGGTGAGAGAGGGAAAAGATTTAAAAGGGATCTAAGGGGCAACTTTTTCACACAGAGGGTGGTGCGTGCATGGAATGAGCTGCCAGAGGAAGTGGTGGAGGCTGGTACAGTTACAACATTTAAAGGGCATCTGGATGGGTCCATAAATAGGGAGGGTTTGGACGGAATGGGACAAATGCTGGCAAATGACACTAGATTAATTTGGTCGGCACGGACGAGTTGGGCCGAAGGGTCTGTTTCCATGCCGTACGTCTCCGCGACTCTACGGCAGAACTGGCGCTTCGGACAAGAGCGAGGGTTTTAAGCGGAGCCTCGGGCAGTGTAGAGAGAAGGGGGGTGGGAGGCCAAGCGAACACAGAGCAGGTCTCGGGGAGGGCTTTCTGGAACTTGGGCGGGCGAAGGAAATCGGGGGTTGGGGGGAGACTGGAGGGGGCCGGAATTGTAAGGGAGAAGGCCGTCTCCGAGAGTTGCGAGACTGGAGCACTTACGGAGACGGGAGGAGTGGGTGGGGGGTGTGTGGCAGGTGGGCGCGGATTTGTAAAGAACAGGACGAGAATTTCAGAAAAGGTGGGGTTGGCTAAGCCTATAGCCTCGGTCAGCAAAAACATGCAGGCCGAAGTATCCCAGCAGCATCTCTGGCGAGAGGTCGACGTTTGGGGCCGATGTGACTTCAGGATTCGAACCGTTAAAATCTTGTTCTCACAGACATTGCCAGAGCTGGTGAGCTTCTCCAGCACTTTTCGTGCTCCTGTTTCAGACCTCCAGCGTTCACAGTATTTCACATCTGCACGTCAGCGCGTGCTGGAATGGAACGCGCACTGGCCTGGATACGAGTGAGGAGACGGGAAGGAAGAGTTTAGGGTGCGCTGAAAATTTGTAAGGGGGCTGCAGGACAACGGGAGGCCAGCTCGGGAAGGGGATTAGAACAGCCAAATCCAGAGAATGAAGAAGACGTGCCTGGGAGGCATAATGTTGCCGTGAACGGAGGGTTTGAGTTATAAGGAGAGGCTGGGACAATTTTCTCCGCAGCGTGGGAGATTGAGGGGTTAAATAATAGAGGTTTATAAAATCATGAGGGGTATAGATCAGGTGAACAATGGATTTTTTTCCCCCTAGGGTGGGGAATTTCAAGACTACTTTTAAGATGGGAAGAAAATGATTTTAAGAAAGACATGAGGGGCAACATTTTTTTTAAAACAGTGTTTCGTGCGTGGAATGAACTTCCTGAGGAAGTGGTGGATGTGGGTGCAGTTACAGCGTTTAAAAGACATTTGGATAAATACGTGAATAGGAAAGGTTTGGAGGGATATGGACCATGCGTAGGCAGGTGGGACTAGTTTACTTTGGGATTATGTTAGGCATGAACTGGTTGGACCGAAGGGTTTGTTTCCGTGCTGTGTGACTCTATGACAAGAGGCCGAAATAAGTGATCTTTGGAAGAGTTTCTATGACCGTCAGTGTGGAGTTGCGGGTGGGAATGGGGAGCTGTCAAGATACTCACCGTCCAGTGTTGCTTTGATGCCTTGCAGAGGCCTGCTGGTCAAGATATTCTTGATGGTGTACACAAAGATGTTGTACTTAGTTGCAACCTGATTGAGAAAGATTTTGCAGAGATTTTACACAGAATCTATAGCACAGGAACAGACCATTCGGCCCAACTGGTCTGTACCAGTTTCATCCTCCACGTTCACATCCCAAAACCATCTTCATCTCCCCCACACCAGCCACAATAGATGCTTTGAATCCTGTCTCCCTCCTGAGCCTAAACGAACCTACACGATTTACCTCCACCACTCGTAAGTGGCACAGCCTGCTCCTTTCCCCTTTTGTCCCGCTCTGTGTCGTCTCTCCTGACTTCCTTGTTGGATTTATTGGCAGCCATCTTAGATTTGTGACCCCCCGCCTGAGCTTCAGACAGTCACGCTGGCAGTTTTCAATGAAGAGATCGAGGGCAGGTAAGAGGCCAAGGAGAGGGGTCCAAGTGGAGGGGGAATACTGGGAGGCGGGTGACGGGATCAGTGGAATGAGACAGGGTGGGAGGGGGGTGGATTTCTGCCCAAAAAAGTGAGTGCAGAGACGGGGGCAGAGGAAAAGCAGTGCTACTGGATTGTACAGGTGGCATTCAGGAAGATGCCACACAAAAGGCTACCACCAAAGAAAAATCAGGACTCATGGTGCTGTGTGGCATATTGGCATGGACTAAAGACTGTCTCATGGACAGAAGGCAGAAGGAACCAACAGGACACTTTCAGTGACAGCTAAAGCGAATTATATCCAGTGTGGCAGAGATTATAAAGTCAGACGGCTAAATATGCCCAGGTGTGTCGTGGTTGGAAATAAAACTGCTAGAAAGGTGGGCAAGAATACAGCAGGTGGAGCATAATGTGGAGGAACGCAAAATTAACCACTGTCTATGGGAAAAAACAGAAACTAAATTAAAATGGACTGTTTTGAATCGTGAGGGTTTGGGAAATGTGGTATACTTGAAACAGCAAAGAGTCACAGAGTATAAAAATAAGAAGTCTTTCTGCAATTGTGCAGGGCCTTGAGTGAGGCCACACCTTAGGGACTGGACTTTCAGTCTCCTTATTCAAGGAAGGACAGACTTCCTTCAGTGAACACTAGGAAACTTCACAATACTGATTCCCGGGATTATCACGAGGAGAGACCGAGTATTCTAGATCTGAATCTCCTAGAATTCAGAGGAATGAGGGGTGATTTCATTTAAACCTGTCGAACCTCATTTCTTTTAGGCAGAAAGTGGTTCGTGTGTGGAATGAACTTCCAGAGGAAGTGGAGGATGTGGGTACAGTTACAATGTTTAAAAAAAAGACATTCGGATTAGTACATGAATAAGAAATGTTTGGAAGGATACAGGCCAAGCGCAGGCAGGTGGGGCTAGTTTAGTTTGGGATTATCGTCAGCATGGACTGGTTGGACCGAAGGGTCTGTTTCCATGCTGTATGACGCTATTAACTCTTCAGGAGCTCAAGTGGAGTGAGGGTCGTTTCACCTGGCTTGAGAAATCGAGAATGTGGGGTCCGAAAAAGACTGGGCCATTCTGAACGGAGATGCAGAGAGAATCCTTCCTTCAGAGGGGATGGGAAACTTTGCAGATCTCTACGTCAGTCATTGAGTACATTGTCAAGACCATGTTAGTACAGACCATGGCTCAGTGAGGGATATGAGGCTAGATCAGTTCGGATCGTTCCGAACAGCAGAGTGGATTTGACAGCCCGACAGCCTGCTCCTAGCTCTCCCCTTCCTACGTGCCTGCCGATCCCAAGTGGCCTAGCCCCAGTTCTAAGGAATGTCAGTTTGGGGACGGGTGCCCACGTTGGGGGAGGCGGTCTCACCATGAGCCCAGAGACGGTGGCGCTGGTGTTGTCTGGGCCCAGATTCAGCTCCTTGCTGGGCCCGGCTTTCTCCCTTGGTTTCACCACCACCCTGTAACCGGTCAGATCGGTGTCGGGTGCGTGCCAGGCGATGGTCATGCTCGTCGGAGTCACCTGAACGAATTCCAGGTCGGTGGGAGGCGGAACGGCTGCAAGGCGATGGGGAGAAGTGGCTTAATGCATTGATGCGGCACCTTACGGAAACTTAGAAGGATTTCCCGTCCCCAAAAAAGGAAACACTGCTTTCCAGCCAACAAAGCCCCTGCATTTGTCGTCAATTTGTACACAGCAAGCTCCCACAAACACAAACATGATGATGACCGAAGAACCAACTTTTAGTGAAGATGATCGAGGGGCGTTGAACAGTAAAGGATGCGAGGTATATCCCCTCCGCCTCTGAAGCAGTGAAATGGGACCTCAAACTGAGGGGACCGACTGAGATTCTCCCCGCGTCTGCGTGGGTTTCCTCCGGGTGCTCCGGTTTCCTCCCACAGTCCAAAGATGTGCAGGTTAGGTGGATCGGCCATGATAAACTGCCCAAAGTGCCCAGGGATGTGCAGGCTAAATGGGTTAGCCAAGGGGAATGCAGGGTTACAAGGATAGGGTAGTGGGGATGGATCTGGGTGCGATGCTCTTCGGAGGGTCGGTGTGGACCCGATGGGACGAATGGCCTGCTTCCATGCACTGTAGGGATTGTTTGAGATCTTGCGTTTAAAGCTTGCACTCCCTCAGTCAGCCCAAGTGTCACCCGTGCGTTCAATCCCACCCTCTGGGAACTCTGGTTACAGGTTGGCGCCCAGGTCTCAGTCCCACACAGACAGGCCAACATTGGGAGGTTGGGGGAGGGAGGGGGTGTGTGGAGCTGGGCAGCGGTGGAGTATTCTTCACTTGTTATACTGAGCCCACCTTCAGGGGCCTGGGTAAACGGTTCAGAATCCAACAGGTTCAAAACATCACCTTGAGGATCAATCTGAGAAGTTGGGACCAGAAGAGGGGAGAAGGGGAGTAGTTAGCATCAGGGACTGTTGTTGGATTGCTGCTAATATCCTAACAGGGTCACAAATGCCCCTTTAGGGAAGTGAATCTGTTGCCCTGACCCAGTCCTGGCCAATATTGGTACACTTCCATAGGAACTGGAAAGGGCAGCAATTTTTACCCATTCCTAATTGCCCTTGAACCCAGGGGCTTCCCAGGGTCATTTCAGAGGACAATTGCAAATCAACCATGCTTGGAGTCACATGTAGGCCAGAGCAGATAAGGATGACGGATTTCCTTCCCTAAAGCACATTGGTGAGCCAGATGGATTTTTACAACAATTGGGAATAATTTCACGGTCACCATCACCAAAGCTGGTTTTTCATTCCAGAATAATTAACTGAATTTACTTCCACCACCAGCTGGAACAGGATCGTAGAATCTCTACAGAGTGGAAGCAGGCGATTTGGCCACACTGATCCTCTGAAGAACATCTCACTCAGAACCTACCCCTACCTCCCCACCCCTTCACTGTAACTCTGCATTCCCCATGGCTTACCCACCTAGCCTGCACATCCCTGGACACTATGGGGCAACTTAGCACGGCCAATCCACCTAACCTGCACATCTTTGGACTGTGGGAGGAAACTGGAGCACCCGGAGGAAACCCACACAGACACCTGGAGAGTGCTAACCAGTGAGCCACCGTGCCATCCCCTTTGGTGAACCCATGTCCCCAGAACATTATCCTGGGTGTAAGGGTGGCTCAGTGGTTAGCACTGCTGCCTCACAACGCCAGGGGCTGGGTTCGATTCCACCCTCAGGCGACTGTGTGTGGAGTTTGCACATTCTCCCCGTGTCTGCGTGGGTTTCCTCTGGGTGCTCCGGTTTCCTTCCACAGTCCAACAACGTGCGGGTTAGGCGGATTGGCCATGCTAAGTTGCCCGTAGTGTGCAGGGGTGGGTAAGTTAGGTGGATTAACTGTGGGAAATGTAGGGTTACAGGGAAAGGGTAGAGGGATGGATCTGGGTGGGACGCTCTTCGGAGGGTCATGGTGGACTTGTTGGGCCCAACGGCCTGTTTCCATGCTGTAGGGATTCTGTGAGGTGGCCTGCCAGTGACATGGCACCCACTAGGCCACAACCTTCCCCAGCCCCATGTCGACATGGCCGACCCCCAAAGTATGCGAGAAAATGTGTCTTCAGATCAAATCACGTGACGGGCTCAGGGGTGATGTGGGGTATCAAAGCTCCTCGAGTTAAGACTAATAACAACAGCCGGAAGAGCTCAGAAATGCAAAACGATAGCAGAGTCTCCTGATGGCGGCAGGATGATTAATCCAGCGAGCAAGAGGTCCGCATGCACAAAGCCGGTCGGGGTTCACTTACAGTGGCATGGGCCTCCCCGTTGTCAGCGGGCAGGTGCCGTTACTCTCCAGAACGTTCTGTCGCGGTGAGGTGGTGGGGGCAGTGGTGGGGGGGCAGTCGCTTACCTGTGCTCTGGGTGCCTATCAGAGGGGTGCTCTCCTGGTCATCGTATAGGGCATACACCTGCACTGTGTACTCGGTGCCAGGCCTCAGGCCCACCAGCTCGGCGGTATCGTCCTCAGAGTGGGGGCTGGGCAGCAGCTCCTGGACCCCGTCCTCGGGGCTGGAGTAGATCACTCTGTAGGCCGTGACCTGACCCTCGGGGCTCTCCCAGGCCAACCGGATGGAGTCTACCTTAACGTCTGTGAAGGTCAGCCCCTTTGGGCGGTCGATGGCTGCCGGGGTAGGGTGGTGGGGGTGGGGCGAAGAAGGTCAGGGAACGGTGCAGCAACACACAAAGACAACGACGAGGACAACGACACAACAAGACAGAGAAAAAAAAAAGTAGGTAAGCGTCTCCTCCCGAGTGGCTGCTTCCAGTCCCCGGGGAGGGGCGAAGTGGGCGCTTGGGAATGGTTTGGCATGGCACCGACAGATCAGGCAGGGCACTGGGCAGCTCAGTGGCACGCCGAGTGGGAAGGCCCGAGGCGGGTCTTTTGCGATCATGGTCGGCTCTCCACGGAAACCGTTCCCGCACTTTTTTTTTTCCTTCTCCACCCCCCCCCCCCCCCAGCCCCTCTTGGCAAAGCGTTAGCGTTTTAGTCGAGAGCACGCGGGCGCGTCGCAGGTTGGCACATCTGCTGGGTCCCACAGCTCCGAGAGGACCGACAAATGCGGCAATTCCACACAGTGAGGCGTTCCGATACAGGGACCTGTACCCGGCTCACCGCGCTCCAGGCGGCTCTAGCCTATCGATGGAAAGCGAAACCGTTCGTTTTCCATTCCACTCAGCTGGGACAGCAGACGCTGGGATGTGACAGACAGCAGGAGGTCAGGAGCGACGCCGAGGCAGAAGGCTTCGTCTGAACAAAGCAAATCGGCAAAAGAATTCGATCTCTTAAAAGACTACGCTGAAGCTCGCCTGGGATTTTGAGCTTTGAAGGCTTGCCAATCGTAAACGGGCTTCCTTCCCTATCGCAAGGTTGAAACAATCGAGGAACGGCCTCCCGCGATTGTCAGCCAACAATTCAGGAGGAGGCAGTGAGGCCAGTGTCAATACTGACGAGCAAGGGGGCTGCGCTGTCGAAGATCAGCACAGCAGGCCCATGTTCTCCTTGGGAGTGGCTCCTTGACAACCAACCCTTCCACAACAATCCCATCGCGGCCATTCGGATCACGGCCAGGCCTGCGCAAGGCCAAACATAGGGCAAGCCTGTCAAAAGCCGCCCGCCAAACGGCCGAACAGGCCTCAATCCTCGGTAAGGTGGTTTAGGCCTCAAACACTTGCCGGACTGACTTTGGAGAGCGTTGGGCGGGCCCTGAAGCCTGTCAGCGGTTTCGGG